CTTTTTTAGCACTATCTCATTAGAATAATCACCTTTTATGATGTACCCCAAAAAAATAAAATCACCTCTTATGATCAAGAAATCATAAATCGGATTACTTCTTGCATTAAGGATTTGAGTTCCTTAAGAGTGTCTATGGCATTGCTCTTTGCGTCGAGTATTAGTGGCTCTAATCTTCACGATCGGCAAAAGCTGTGCGCGGAAAAGATCCTATAGCATGCAAGAAAATCATAAGAGAAATCAAGAGGAATAAAGTTTTACAGGCAGAAGACACCATTTCTTCATTTTTTTTTTTTTTTGGTATTAATCTCTAAATATCCAGTAACTATTAGGAGAAATTTTTTCAATTTCTGTTTCTTCATTTAGAACACTCAAACTCAAAATGTTATCAAAGGGGTATTAAACTTTTCCTATTTAGACTAACAAGTTGTTGGTGCCATTTCTCTTTTTTCCTTGTACATTAGGAGGGCGATATCAGGTCTTTATATAGGGAAAGATGGTAGGGTTTTATAAAAGAAAACAAATCAAGTTGATTTTATTATGAAAGGAAAATTAATGAAGAAAATCTAATAATGCATGTAATTACTTATTCAACTGTAGAAGGATAGTATGTATTACGAATTGATTGATTTTTTTTTTTTTTTTTTTTTTGAGCGCATACGAATTGATTGATTTTAAAATTTTAAAATTGATTAGTTTAAAGCCTTGTTTTGGTCCCTTAATTTATGTAGAAGTCCTCTTTAGGTCATTAATCTGGAAAAAAAAAAAAATCCCCTTTTCATTTTTTAAAGTTTAATTTTTTTACTCATTTTTAGTTGCTTAGTCAATTAAGTGCTGATATGGTGCTGTTCTTCATTAAGTATTTTACACTTTTAATTGTGAATGCTGTATGAAAATTAAAAGGGGACACTTTGAATACATTAAGTTCTTATGTGCCAAATTATATGGTTCATTCTACTTACTTGGAAACTCAAACAGGCCTACATGGATGAACTAATGGCTCAGTACTTAAGTTAATCAATTAAAATCTTAGATTCAAATAATATATTATCACCATTAATTTGGTAACTAAATAATTTAACTTTTAATTAAACCTCAATTAGATTTTAATTAAGTCAATGACTAGTAGTAATTTTCTTATAACGAAAGTAATTGAGTTTGAGTTGTATAATATATGAGTGAGATCAGTCAAAAATAGAGAGAAGATTGCCTTTCATTATACAATTTAAGATAAAAGAATAAAAAAAAAAAATTTAAACATTTAACAACTAATTTCCTTAAACAACCAAGAGAAGTTCATCAACAATTTCAAATTTTCGTTTTGTTAATGATAGGGCTGTTTGGTATTGTAATTTGGGGTCAAGGATTTAGTTCAAACTGCTATATAATGGTCTTTAGTAATCTTTTCCCCTCACGAATTACTACATGATTAGTATTTGATAAAATTTTTTATTTAACAGTTCAATATTAATAACTAGCAACTAGAGCTTGGCTATTATAAAAAATTGAAAGTAGGTATGAATCCAGACTGCAAAACACTCTCAAAGTATAAAGCCATCTTTCTTCCACCTTCGTCTATTTGGGCTCGTCGGCGATGCAACTTGCCTGTTGCTGAATAAATCTCCCATATACAGATGAAGGTGAGGCAATGGTGAAGGTTTGGATGAATATGGCCGACAAATAGAAAGAATAATTACAAATATTTATAAATTATGTTTTGACCCA